GGGGGCTTGTCACTGTGTTTCATTGTTCAGACATAACTTTCACCGTCACCCTCAAATCCCTGAAGTTGCCATAATAGAATACTATAATTGCACTTAGATATTCCACTCCCTCATTCTCCATGCCAGTATTATTAAATAACATTTTAAATATTGGATATTAAGTGTTTGAACTCTCTGAATCTCCACCTTCTGTAAAATGGAGAAGAGAACTGACCTGTCACTCAGGTAGAAGAAAATTTTAGTCTTTGTACCAAACTGGTTCTGGTTAGTTCACTAAATGTCAATCAGTGTTTCTTGCCTAACTTCATAATATACTTACGTTAGAATATACATAGTATCTGATGGCACTTCAGCTTTTCTTCCTTCACAACATTAATACATTTCCTTTCCATTATTTCCTTTGCCTTTTTTTCAGTTGAACTTATGTCTGTGCACATATAATTGTGCAGTCAGCTTTATGTTGTTTCCTGTTGTATAAGCATGTTTCACTGAGCAATGGAACACCTTATACTGTCTTCCCTAATGTTTCCAAACTGATGAAATTGGTGTGGTTATTTTTACCCCCCAAATGTTTGTCTGCATTTTTGGATTGCTTCTTCAAGACAGATCCCAATGGGCCCTGGCCAGGTAGCTCAGTTGGTTAGAGCGTCGTCCTGATACACCACGGTTGTGGGTTCGATCCCTGGTCAGGGCACATACAAGAGTCAACCAATGATGCGTAAATAAATGGAACAACAAATGATGTTTCTCTCTCTCCCCGCCTTTCATCCCTCTCTTTATCCCAATGGGCTGTTACTAGGTCAAGAGATGTGACCATTTTTAAGACTCTTGACGTGTATTGCCAGATGGCTTTAAGAAGGTTGTCAGCCTTATGTTCCCATCATTACTGTATTATAGTTATCGTACTGTTTCTCTGTCCTCTGTCTTCTCTGACTTAATAAATTTCTAAGTTCTTTAAAAAACATCTTGTGTATATTTAGGGTTGTTAGCATTTAGTAGTTCTATATTAGAATAAAAGAATAATAGAATTTTGCATCTAAATGGAATCCTACAAGGCATCTAGTCCAACAGCTCAGGCAGTGTAATAGTCAACTAATACATTAGGGCTTTTGCAGAAAGAGCCTTGTGTGAAGGAGGTTCATTGGTTTTTAAAAGATTGCATATGACTATCTAGCTAGTTGGAAGTTCATTATACAGTGAGAAAAGGGAAGCCTGTTGGATTGTGACTTACCTGCTATCTTGACAAGGCTAGAGTGCTTCCTGGGGAAATGTGTGGAGAGCATGATTAAAAGGAGACCACAGCACAGTGGTTGGGACACTGGGACTGGACTTGCTGGATATGGAAATGGGAGTGTTTTCCACGGGCAAGCTGTTCAGATCCATGAAAGTTGAGGTTTTACTAGTTTCTTTGCAGGTGAGTTTCTGGTTGAAAGTAATATGTTGATTTTTATTGCAGAATACAGATGCTGTTCATCTGGCTCTGAAATTAAATAATTCTGAACTGATGGGAAGAAAACTCAGAGTCATGCGTTCTGTTAATAAAGAAAAATTAAAACAAAATTCAAATCCCAGTTTGAAGAATGTCAGTAAACCTAAGAAGGGACTTAATTTTACTTCAAAAAATGTAGGACGTTCTAAAAGTTTGTTTATTGGAGAAAAAGCTGTTCTCGCCAAGAAGAAAAAGAAAGGACAGAAGAAAAGTGGGCGAGCTAAGAAACAGAAAAAACAGAAGTAGCAGTTCGAAGCGTTGTTTTTCCACTGAGCACTGGTAATAAAAATGTGGTGAACCCATGTATTGAGTCTCAGAATTTATATGGATGGTGTATATGAACGTGGGAACTTTGTTTGTTCGCATTGTAATAGTACCTTTGAAGCATTTGTTTTAAGATGTAGGCATGTTAGTTACCATGGATTATGTGTCACTGCTAATGGTATGAGAGATGATTTTAGACTTAGGAAAAAGATTTAAAATTTTAGTGACTATTTTAGTGTGTTAGAAATATGTAACACTTTAGACAGTTATTTCAAGAATTACTTTGAATGAGACTACATTAAAAAGTGAGTAAATTTAAAGAAAAATAAAACACTAAGCTTTAATAGTGACTGTACCTAGACAAAGTGTCTAAACAATTACAGTGGGAATACTGATCTAAGGTCTAATCACAATCCCTAAGAAAGGTTTGAGGGCCATTATATAATAGTCACTTATTTTCTTTCCTTTCTCTCACACTTGTGATAATTGGAGCTCTGGGTTTTTTTTATTTCATCAACCTAATAATAATTAGCAAACAAGAATATGAAACATTATGTGAAATGTTGCTCTAATTTCTTATTTTCTTTATTGATTTGAGAGAGAGAGGGGAAGGGAGAGAGAGAAATCAATGTGTTGTTCCACTTATTTATGCATCATTGGTTGATTTTTGTAAGTGCCCTGACCGGGGATCAAACCTGCAACCTTGGCATATCAGTTTGATGCTCCAACCAACTGAGCTTCCCGGCCAGGGCTAATTTCTTCTTAACCTGTGATTATACTGGTTATTGAAGCCTGTGGCAAATTGGCTATGAGCAGGTTCCTATTTTTATTTGTTTTTAATTTGAAAAATATTCTCCCAGGGAAACTTGTAATTCTTCAGTTAATGAAACCACCTTTCAAAAAATCATATTTAAAGGAAACATTGTCTGATAAAAATGGTGATTAAGTCGCAATGTATAAAGTTCAACAAGGTGCAAGAGTACCATTGCATTTCCTTGAGACTTAACCTGGTGACATAACTGGTGTCTCTGCTCACAAATTTTACCAAGCTGAGTCTGTATCCAGGAGGGAGGGTGTAAACCCTTGGTCGGGGGGCTGGTCTGAGGCAGTCAGAACCTGTGATACATGTATCATATTACTTAGAAGCTAAGGGGACTGGGGAACACTGAGTAACGATTATTTTGACAATCCTGTCTTCTGGGTTTAGCACGAAGAAAACTTAATGGAGCTGTATAATGTGGCTCTAAAAACAGAGAGCTGTTTTCCTGTATCCAAGGGTTGGATATTTTATGGTTAGTATACTCTCTGGTGCTTAGAACCTTGTTTTTCATAAGTAAGGTTAAGTAAATACTTCCTTGATTCTTGACTGTTTTTGTATATATTTCTAGTTAAATTTATATAAAGATGCATCATCTGTAGAATACACAGACTATCTCTGCAGATAAATATATAGTGTATAATTTTACTGGGTATATTTTATTTATAGTGTACATTATATTTAATTATGTATGCTGTATAGTATATATTTCTATAAAATGTATATAATTTTAATGTCCTTAACGTAGAGTATTCCTTTTGGTTTCTTAGGTTTTCATGTAAAGAGCCCTGGACTAGGGTGTAAGGACATCAGGTTCTTAACCCACCTCTGGGCTATACATACATAACCTTGGACACGCCTCTTTATCTAAATATCCTGATTGGTGAAATAAGGGTCTTGGACTAGATCAGTGGTTTCATACACTTTTTTGACTGTGATCTACAATAGCTTTTTTTTTTTTTTTTAATTTTAGAGGGAAGGAGGGAGAGAAAAAGAAACATTTGTCATTCCACTCATTTATGCATTCATTGGTTGATTCGTGTATGTGCCCTGACCAGAGACCAAACCCATGATCTTGGGGTCATCATTCCAACCAGCTGAGCCACCTGGCCAGGGCCTATAATAGATTTAATTTTACATGTGACCAGTACAAACACGGATGTATTTAACCTACAAAAGTTTCACATGACAGTACTGGTCCTTAATACAAGTGTTGGTGTCTGATATTGTTTTATTAAAAACGTAATGATCACCCTAGCCAGTGTGGCTCAGTGGTTAGAGATTCCGCCCTTGGACTGAAGGGTCCCAGGTTCAATTCTGGCCAAGGGCACATACTGGGGATTGTAGGCTCAATCCCTGGGCCCAGTTGGGGCACTTGTGGGAGGCAGCCAGTCGATGTGTTTCACATCAATGTTTCTCTTTCTCCCTTCCACTCTCTCTGAAAAGCAATGGAAAAAATATCGAGTGAGGATTAAAAAACAAAAACACACATAATGAGCCACTAAGGTCAGTTCACAGCCCACTAACGATTCCACTCATGAACAGGTGCCTAGGGGACTTCCAGGATGTTTCTATTGCAGGACTTTTACAACAGATACTCAGAAATGTAGAGGGGTTGAGGGTTTCAAAGACACAGATGTTCTAACTATGCTTTGTGTAATATGTCACCTGGTCTCTTAGACCTCAGCGTTTATGTTGTATTTACTCTGCACAGCACAGGGACAGAGAAGAGTAGTCATAACCTAGTGGCCACCTAATCTCAAATTTTCAAGAGGGTTGAGTTCTAGGCCTCATGTCACCTGTGTGGTCTTGGACAAGTCTTTTGTGTTCCAGCACACCTGAGGCTCAGGACACACCTCTCAGTTGAGGTTCACTGACAACTTGTTGGGATGGGAAGAATCAGAATGTCTGTGTGCAGGGTATAAGGAATGTGCAGTCCTGTGGTCTCAATAATTTGCTTTGGTACATATGCATCTCCACACCCTTCCCCTTACCCACCCCAGTCCAGGCAGTGCACACATACCTTTGGTCTAATTTCCAGTCTTCCATAGGGTCTCATCTTCATTATCATTTAAGCAGAAGGGCCTTCCAGGCCCCAGGGTAGGGCCTCCAGTCTAATGTTTCCATAGTACCCATGCAGCAACTTCTGATACCAACTACCCAGAGTCAGGCCAAACTTACGTTAAGGGCACAGCCCTCTACAAGACAGCACTCACTTCAGACACCAATCACATTTGGGGGGGGGGGTTGCTGGGCCACTTTTCTGAGCAGCTAGCTATTAATTTGGGGGTTCTCAGTGACCCTGGGTTCAACAATTCACTCTAAGGACTCAAAACTCAGGAATGTCCTATATTATGGATGGTTTTATTATAGCAAAAGGATATAAATCAAAACCTGCCAAAGGGAAAGATGCATAGGGAGAGGTCTGGGAAAGTCCCAAACACGAAGCTTCCATTGTCCCTCTGGCATCAGGACACCTTGTCCTAGCACGGGGCACACTGATGTAACCCTGGGAGCTTACCTGCTCTGTGTGCAGAGTTTTTATTTCGGTTCCACTGTGTAGGACCCCAAGTTGAACTCAACCTCTGGTCCCCTGCCACTCCCCAGAGGTACAGCTGATATCACCTGAATCAAAGTCCCAACCCCATACCCAAGTGGTCAGCGAGCCCCTGAGCCACCTCCTTGGTGAAACTACCTGCCAGGGTCACTGGAATATGTTACCAGACTGCAGGAGTCCATTTGCCTGCACACATCAAAGCCCAATAAGACAAACGGGGATTTGCAGCCAAGAGAGTAAGGATTGATTAAGGAGGTGGCGCCATGCCTGGAGTCACAGGTAGCTCATACTCAAAAACCTGGCTCTCCGATGGCTTCCAGGGGATGGATTATATAGGGGAAAATCATGAATCACCGCGACTAGTAGAGTTAGGATCCTGGGCTCCACTGATTGGGGATAACTGATCATTGCATTGGGTTCTGATGTCAGCCATGGAGTTCTGTCCAATTTCGCAAGGATTCGTTCCGTGGGATCATTCTGCTTTTTTTGGGTCTGGAGCTAAAACACAACTGAGGTCAAAGGATGTTTTGTTTTATTGAAAATTCCGTCCAGCCCTGGCGGCCTAGCTCGGTTTGTCAGAGCATCATCCAGCTACCCCGAGGTTTCAGGTTCCACCCCTGGTCCGGGCACCTATAAGAATCAGCCAATGAATGGACGCATAAAAAGAGGAGCGAAAAACCCATGTTTCCCCTCTCTTACTCTAAATACATAAAAAGAAAATAAATAAAAAAATTCTGTCTCAATACTCAACAGACCCAGGACCTTGTTTCTAAGGCTACTGGATGCTGACCAGAACCTCACTGTCCCGAGGGATTAATAACATTAAGCAAGGGAGAGGGAGATGCGTGAGCCAGGGCGCCAGGCAGAGGGCAAGAAATCAAAAGGCCGGAGGAAAGAAAGAAAGGTCTGCGCCGTTACAATTATAGCGACCTTCCCGTCACTCGGAGCGCTTCGGAGGATCCAGCCTGAGCGGGTCGGAGGCCAGCAGCCAGCTCCGCCCGGCC